TGTTTAGTACGAATATTAGAATCAATTATATTTTGTCATTATGTTTAAAAGAAATGTTTTTCTATATAAGTTATTCAGTAAGCAATATACAAAATCATTAGTATTTTCGAATAATTTAATATACATGTCCGATTTATTTTATTCATTTGTTATAGTATCATAGAGAATCATTCGGCATATTTTATGTAGTAGTTCTGTTTGTGAGTATAAAGTAGAAACTTCACATATTTGTAGAATGTAAATGTTTGAATGTATTTTTAGTTACCTAGACTTCATGAATAAGAAGAAAATACTACATGAATATTTCTCTTAGGTATTTCTCATTAATAGTAGCGTTTTTTTGTTGTTTAAATAAGTTTACATGAGTTACATAGAATGTCTTCATTTAGATGTTTTAGTCACGATTTATTATCATTATAATGATCATAAAAATGAAATCATTTATGCATATTTCAATATTATTTTCACATTGTGGTATGAATGTTGACAACATTGTTTATTAATGATATTCTTTCTTGTTATTTATTATGTAGATGTGCATATAAATATGATTTGTAGTTTTCTACTTCTTTTATAGCAACATGAAGCGTTCATGTCTTGTCATTTTTTTTTTGATATCAGTTAAGCCGCTTCTTTTTTTATACTTAGCATTTCACTAAATCACGTAAGTTTAGCTTTAGTTATGTTCCAATATTCTCAAATATTTTTTACATACTCTGGGTGGGTGGGTGGATATAGGTGTGTGAATTGGTAGAGAATACTCACACACTGACCAACACCGACATCGTTAAGATGCATTGCTTCAGTCATCTTCTTTTGGTGCCGCCAATAGAAATAATAGACGGAAAAATCCAACTAGCGCCCATTGGTACTTCAAAATCACTTCTATCCTTTTTTGTCATTGTGTCTGATTTATTCACTTTCAAACAAGTCATAAATATGAATGATTGTACAAGGGCTTCTCTCATAATATCATTTATCTTCGATCACCATTTATAACCGATTCTGTATGTGGATCATAAAACCTTTCAGTATCACATATTTGTATTTTACAACACATCTTGACGAAACTTGGTCGACTGATGATGAAAACATAGCCAAGTCACGATTCATCGTCGTAAATGCTATAATATGCCTAGGCGCTCTATCTTCTTAAGGCGAAATAGTGAGTATGATGGAAAATAACTCGGATACTGGCAATAATGACGATCGTCGAGAGGTCTTTTAATGTTAATACTAATGACATATGGATGTGGGTGTGGGTGTGAGCGAGGGAGAGGGCCTGAGGAAGGGCGAGGGTGTGAGCAAGGGTGAGGGTCCGAGCGAGTGTGGGTGTGTGTACTCTATAGTCGCATCCTCAGTCCTTCGGCGTTGAGATGCAGGCATTTGTGATCACTCGATGAAATACCAAAAGAGTAACTCGATAATATATGAGGAATTTGTTCGCGTTTCTCTGTAGTCATGTCGTAAACTCAAAGAAAACGCTTATCCATCAGATTCATGACAAAATTATTTCGATAAATCGGACTAACTGGTATAGTCTATTTCGCATTTTAATCCAATAGGAATTGCGCCAAACAGCATTTTTTCCAAGATAAAACAGTAAATAGCGCACAACTACGAAAGGAAGTCAATATTTGTTAAGCTTTAAAATATTGCATCTTAATCATCAGAATTATATGCAGATAAGAACTGTAATAAAAGTGAGAGCAATAAATAGTCTGATGTTTTCTACAGAGATGATTTCTATGTTTTTATTGTTAAGTGAAAGAAGCATGTATCTGACCATACTCTTTCTTGTCTTCATTCATTCTGTATTGACGATTGATTCTATTCATTATGTTGATACAAAAAGTAACGGCATGCCTCACGCCAATTATTATCCACCAAAATATTATATGAAGCGGCAAAATCCATGGGAGTTCGTTGTGAAAGCTCAGCCAAAGCCTATGTATGTCCAGGTACCCGGTACCGTTTTATCGTTCTACCATCAAACACCTATGTTATACGAGATTAGCTTTCACGCTCATTGCATTATTGAAACTCCACACACGCTACTTAATTTGCGCTTGCGAGTCGATGGTCATTTGATTATGGCTGATTCTCTTTCGTCTGATATGGCCAATATAGATGGTTTAGATGGAGTTTATACGATCTCCAATGCACAGACACAGATGTCAACGTTTCAGTGTTCGAAAACAGACTGGATTTATTTGTCTGCTGGTGTGCATGTCATTGACGTCGCTGCTAGAACATCCAATACAATTCGTATACAAAGTGGAGTTTTGAAGATTAAAATGACACAGTTTGATAATGGTACTGATATCAATATGCCCATAATAACTCCTCCGAGAATGAACTTGATCTAAAAGTGCTTGACTATATTGAGTGTGCCGAGCCGAAAGATGGCTTGATCTATTTTCTTTATATGTACTTTGATATTTGCTCTCGGTACTATAATCTTTTAATATTTGTTCTTTTCTGTATTCAGTAGGCAGACGATTTGTTTTGAAGAATAAAAAGAACAGTTCTGATTAGGGATGATACTTTTACTTTGCTTAATAGTTAAAGCTTGAGGGGGTGGATGTGAGTGTGACTGTCTTCTCTTCCTACCCATACCCAAATTCACACCCACACTGTCACACACTCTCATTCTGACTTTCTAATGTACGCCAAGATTGATAACTATATAAGTATTTATTGTTTTTTATAAAAAAACGTCTGAATAGAAGAATAAACGATGCAATCGTCCGAGCAGTATATTTTTCTTCCGAGTATTACTTGGATTTAAGCGGAGCAGGTATGGGACAGTATGGAGATGACGTTGATGTTGAAGGTTGTTGCTCGTCTTTTTTGAAATCATTGATTAATAATAAAATAAAATGTTGAAATTGTTCACAGCTGATACTATCAAACTCCGGTAATGCTTTGGAAATGACTCTTTCATAGTTAGGTTCCGCAACAGGTTCTAATTCATTTTCTATAACGTTTTGTAAAACACCTTTCAATCTGGTATATACCTCTGCTGAGCATTGATTTTTATCCAGATTATTTACTTTCATATTGGCTTCACTGTCACCGCCTTTGAAATGAATCAAGAATTTCCCATGATCAGGCCTGTTCGGATAATGGGAATCGGTATAAAAAAACCGAACTTGAAACTGTACATGAGGTTCGTGACAGAAACGTTTTTTTAACCATATGTAAATTAAGTGTTCAATGCCTCGTCTCCAGTGATTCTTCCAACCTTTAAAACCTCGATTAATGTTTTTATTTTGAGGAAACAAATTAAAATCTACCATTTTCCCACCCAATGAACAAGCGATAATATGACCACAATCATCATCGGACTTGCCACGACTGCGAATTTTCTCAGCTAACGAACTATTTTTTGATGTTGCTTCACCTTTTCCAAGATGCTCTTCATAGATTTCGGCTAATAACCAATGTGTTTTTTGTCCTTGACCACCCGACGATAATTGTTCAACTTTAACGTTACAAATTGGTAAATATTTTTCGGTAAGGTCCTTGGGACGTTCATAATTCTGTAAACCTGTACTTAAATTATCATTGTCTACCACTTGTCTTCCATCGACCACATGATCGTCAGAATCTGTGTCAATTTCAATAGTGAAATTTACCATAGTTAATTAAAAAATATAATTCCAGTGGCAAAAAATATTTCTATAATGGAAAAAAACTAGTAAAAAAACTGAACTGAATAGGAACATCTTATAATTCCATTAATCCGTGGAGGTAGTTGTGAAATTATGTCCTTTTAGTCGAAAGCTCCTCTGTAATTCGGGATAATAATTTAAATTGCTAATATGAAACAAAAGCATATAACGATGCTCACATATTGTTTTGGAAATCAAACTCTTTTTTTTCGTATTTATCATCCACTCAACTCGTCTTTTTTCTTGATGATCTTTGGACTATCAGAAGCACTGATTGCATCTACGAGAAAAGGAAAGAAAAAGTGCGTGTCAACTCAGACGAAGAAAAAAACTTAATACATTGAGAGCAATAAGGAGAGAACAATAAAAAACACGAGAAAAAAAACCACTCAGTATATATATATATATATATATATACAGAAAGAAAAAAGAAAAGACATTGAATAAATCAAATTTTTTTCGCCTGTCGGCGACGGCTTAACCGATCGGCTTACATCTCTAGGTAGGAACAGAAGACACCCACACCGACCGCACGAAACATTGACAATAAAGTATTTTCGTCATCGAATAAAGTTATAATGACACTACAATGATCAATTTATTTGCTTGAACTTTTATGGTCATATTTAATTTTCTTTTTGATCGAAGAATTTGTGTAAGTCAAAATTTACACGCCAATAGTAAAATAAAATCCTTGTTGAGCTGCAACCTTAAGTTGCTCTTTACCTGCATCTGATATACTACAGTTACGTACGTTTAAATTATGAAAACCATGAGATAAAGATATAGCAGTGCAGATAGCATTTATGCTGGCATCAGTGATTCGTCTATTGCCATCTAAAGTTATTGATGCAATGTTACTCTCGTATGATTGAGTTGTCTCAAGTAATAGTTGAAGTCCTCGATCACTAACATCATTATCACTTAGATGTAGATGATACGTCGAGTGATTGACTCGAAGCATTTCAGCCAGATATTCACAGCCAACATCGGACATTCCAACAGAATTCAAGTAGAGTTTTCTGAAACAGAGCTCTTCGCTTGGTAATCTCGTAGCAATACATTGAACACCTGCATCCAATATCCGATTCCCATCAAGATATAGTGCCGAGAAATACGTGCGACTCCCAAACGCCTGAGACAAGATAGAAATACCGACAGATGTAATTGCATTATTACGAAGGCTGATTATCTTACACTTCTTTTCAATAATACCTAACTTCGCAACTATTTCCATGTCTTGATCACTCAAATTCATCGAATCTAAAATTAATGTACCACGTTCTTCTATCGATCGAATTATTTCTTCAAGTGTTGGATTGTGATATTCATCTACTGTTAGATTCACATTCATTAATGAATCAGCAAACGAGTTCATATCACGCAAATGAATGATATGAATTCCATCTGCATGTTTCAATGTTCCTATAACTTTTAGATTAATTCCAGGTGAAAGAAGGATTTCATCATCATTTTGAAGATGTGAATGTTCTCGAATAGATTTGCCATATTTAGTTTCAATTGCAAATATTGTCTAGACTTTTTCTCTACCTAACTACATTGGTGATTGAAGAACATCAAATGAAGATGTTGTCGAAGTTATTGACCACCATGTCACTTCGTCTCCTTCTCGATAATGTTCACAAACATCTTTAGGAATACCACGCCACACTGTATGATATTCAGCATATCTACAAAATCGATTCAATTTCAACCAACTTCGTGTTAACAATACCAAGTGGACTTACGGTAATTTGAAGAGCGCTGTAAATAATAATTTGATATATTTCAACCAAGGTTGAAGTTGATTTCTATCAATAGCACAAAGTGCTTGATTGAGAAGAATATGAAGACTGTTTTCTGATTGATTGCATTCCATTGTATATAGATAGATAGATGCTGATTCATCTTGAGTTAGTCCATGTTTGGGTGGCTTGGAATTTAATTTGGCAACAGTGATGTAGAGTTGAAGTTCTATGCCAAGTATATTTTCAAGTGATTGACAAGCTTGTTCCAGAGATAGAAGTTGTTCTTGTTCAACACCATGAATTGGTTCAATTATTTGTTGTGATTGATGAGGAATATCGGCCAGAAGACGAGGATTGATTTTAAAAGATAACGCCATTTTTCTTATATACTCCCTTTTTTTTCTTTCGAACTTTATTGAAATGTGACGATAATGATAGTTTTAGTGCACGTTGTATACAGTGCAAATACAGAGGTAAAAACCAAGAACAGAAAAAAATAACACCTACAGGTAGCGCATCTTGAGGGTGTGGGTGTGAGCAGAGACTATATTATCGTTCGATAATTTATGAACACTGTATGAATATTCTTTTAAATGAAAGAGAACTTATCTATTTTGATAAGACTTATGAAAATAAAATACCAAGTATACAATGTTGTTCTGAGTCATGCTGCATATATCAAGAAAGAAGAAAGATAGTGGCACACATTTGCATTACATTTTCCAACATGAGTACTTACTTTAGACAAACGACATTACTCGAACATTTACCGATCGAAATCTTTCTAGAAATTTTTGCTTCATTATCACTTGAAGAAATTGTAACAGCTTTCTTTGATCTTAATGCTTATATTAATTGGATTATTCGATCTGTAAAATGTACCAATCACGGGATAGTCAATAATGATAGCAAATCTATCGATCTCCTAAAATTATTTCCAACTCAAATCGATCGATTAGTTATTGAACAAGCTGCATCTGTTGATTTCACATCATTAATTAATTTACGATCACTGACAATAAAACATGGTACACCTGTGCAGTTAGATGGGATCCGTCCACAGCATTTTCCCTTGTTAGAAATTCTCCATATTTACGGTGGTAAGTCACAAAAGAAGGTTTGAATGATGCCTTAAAAATAATTATTAGAATCTTTTAAACAAAACAGTATTTCTAATGTTTTCTTTTGTTTTTAGTGAGCGATGTTTCTTCAGTTGATATAGTACGAACAATTAATGATTTATTTGAGGTTATATTATCTAATGGTTTTTCTCGACTTCGAATATGTACAGCGGCACAAGTTGGCAGTTTAGAGTCGAATCATAAATGGAAGAGAGCACCTACTATTCAATATCTTCAATTAGATAAAACAACAGCACATGTTCGTGACGAGATTTACTCTGCATGCCCAAATCTACGTCCATTTAAATATTCCTTACCTCCAATTTCATTTTCACTCTCGATATTCGGGGGTTATACTAAAAGTTTATTTAGAGAAATCATGGTATTGAAACAATGGGAATCTAAAAAAACGTTTATACTTGATTTTTGTTCGATGTTTCATGATGATGAGGATGATGACGAACCACTTCCCAAGTTCAGTTACACACCACCAATCACTCGACTCTTGGATATACCGAATAATTTTGTTATTTTGGGCCGAATTCTACCAAGTAACGATCCATATTGTTTTCGTTCATTTCTGGTCAGACTTACGTTCCCGCCAAGTTACCCATTCAACCCGCCTATAGCACACATTTTAGATCCATTCTACCATCCAAATGTTCAATTGGATGGTGGACATCGCTACTATTGGGAATACTCTGTGAACAACTGGTCGTCAAGGATTACACTACTCCACTTTATCGAGGGCATTATTAAGACCATTGAGAATCCCGACCTGAACCATCCGTGTGATCAATCGATTGCTAATGAATATCGAAATAACTACAAAGAATTCTATGATAAAGCATTAAAATATACACTGAAATATGGACGACCACGTAACTAATAATCTGCTTATAGAAAATAAAAAATACATAAACTTCAACGAATTATATTTATTACGAAAATAAATCAATGTCTAGATTTTAATTACACTATTTTACAGTAGAATAAAATGAAAGGATTTGTTTTATTAACGAATCCATAGACGAATAAATTTCATAAATCTCGGATCTCTATTGATAAGACATGATAAACGAGCTTGTAACCATAGAATCAATTCATCTTTGACCGATGGTTTATCTGAATGATATTCGCATTGATCATCTTTAGAATGAACTTTTAATGTACGAAGGTTCGGTAATCCATTGACAAGATCAATAATATTTGTTCGTTCTTTGACAATTAAAGAAAGAAATTCACATTGAATTCCTAATGATGAATTAATTAAAAGAATACATTTATGATCATTGAACCAAGAAATATTATTTCTATTGGTATCACAAGATACATTTTGAAAATTGAGTGATCGAATTGAATGACTAAGCAGATTTAATGGTGCTTCTTGAATATCACGTGGAAACCAAGTCAATATTTCTAATGAATAAAGATAAGGTGATTGATCAATTAATTTTTGTAATTGATAGACAGCAATATTTGCATCAATGAATGGACTACATCCAACTTGAAGATGAATTAATCGATTCAATTGTGGTAAATTAGATAATAATATTCCAGCTATGATTCACTTTGCATTTAAACATACATAT